ACTTGTCGACAATTTCAATTAAAGATTCTTGATGAGAGACACAGGCTTGATGCTGATACAGGATAAGCGTAAATAAAATATAGATAAATTAATGAAATGACCACATTTTCTATTATTTGATTAGTATCAAGGCTCAATCAACAAGATAAACTTTTTGGCTATCTGAGAAAGCAAAGAAGGCAGTTTGACTATAAAGAAGAGACTGACCTGCGTCTCTAACATCTTGAAAAGGCCTTGGTTAGCGCACTCAGACTGTTCGGCAAGCTTTGCCGTAGATTCGGAGTCCTTTTTCACTAAAGCAGCATGTGTGCTAGAGAGGTCTAGAAGGAGTTTCTCAAAGATATCCGTCAGCTGATGTCCAAGATGGCGACTGTTGTCCCTCAATAGTCGGGCAAGTCGGTCCAATAAATCGTGTTGCCGGTCAAGGGACTCCTGCCTAGATATTTTCATTTCAGAATGCGTATCGACTTGTCGAAGGAAGTAATAGCGAACGAAGTAAGGATGAAAAAAGTTGGATGCCATCTTTTATAACTGAAATATCAACAAGAGGAACCCCCTAGGTCATGTGATGTGTAAATATGTATACAAGGGCTTGTGGATCCTCCTGGCTATATTACCATAATCAGAGGTATCTAAACAAATCTCTAGATCAAGAAGGGTTCAGCAAAAGCGAATAGATCCGTTCTATCAAGCCATGTTGTAAATTGGATGTTTGAAATAGTAATTTGGGTTGGACTTGTACGATCCTTAATGGTCATGTGGGAGCAATGAGGCAATTGTCAGAATAAAGGAAAACGTATAAAGAACGACTAAGGCAATCAAAGGAAGTTTATAGAAATCATTTTAAAAATCAGTTGTAAGGCTATGTCATCTACAATATAATAGTGGCTCCGATCTACTATTTAATCACGGCAATTTTTTCCAAAAAGCTTTTCTATTTAGGGTCATACGGTTTCATCATTGCCTAGGTCTTGTAAACACATGATAAGGCTCAACATACATGACAAGCTCCAGAACACATCTGGAGATATTAAACAGAGGCGACTCAGGAAATGTAACTCCTTAAATCAGATAGTCTTTTGAAGGCAAAATGAGGCCCTCTAATTTTGCGATTAACAACTTAGTGGATGAGTATCAATGGCTTAGGAGTAGATATGGAACTTATTATCGCTAAAATTAATTCTCCCAGAATAAGATAAATATATAATACGTACAGTTCATGACGCGCCATAGCAAATTGTAGATAAGGCGTACAAGATGGAATCA